CTGATCCAGAAGGCGAAGCTGGCCGAGCAGGCCGAGCGCTACGACGACATGGCCACCTGCATGAAGGCCGTGACGGAGCAGGGCGCCGAGCTGTCCAACGAGGAGCGCAACCTGCTGTCGGTGGCCTACAAGAACGTGGTGGGCGGCCGCCGGTCCGCCTGGAGGGTCATCTCGAGCATCGAGCAGAAGACCGACACCTCGGACAAGAAGCTGCAGCTCATCAAGGACTACCGGGAGAAGGTGGAGTCCGAGCTGCGCTCCATCTGCACCGCCGTGCTGGTGAGTCGGCGCGCCGGGCCGGGCTAGGGCTTCACGGGAGCCGGAGAGAAAGGCCGGCCCCGAGGGTCCGCCAAGGGGGCCCGGATCCCCGGAGTGTGCGCTTCCCGAGCAGCGGTTCTCAACCTCTGGGTCGCGATCAATGGAAATCCATCCTGCATATCAGGTATTCACATGTCGATTCATAACAGTAGCAAAGTTACAGTTATGAAGTAGCAACGAAAATAATTTCATGGTTGGGGGTCAGCACAACATGAGGAACTGTATGAAAGGGTCGCGGCGTTAGGAAGGTTGAGAACCGCTGCTGGAGGCAGCAGCAGCTGCTTTTGCAGGGGGAGCGGGTCTTTCCCCGGCTCGCTGCCCACCCAGTGGGGCTGGGCAACACCCAGGGGGGTTTCCCCGAGACCCAGAGTCGCTTTTCAGCTCACCCAGGCCGCCTGGCACCCCTTTACCGGCATCTCATCAGTTCACCGGCTCCAGGCTTCCGCCGGGAGAAGGGGCAGGCAGGCACCTTTCCCACGGGCACCCATGTGTGTGCGAATGAGGCTGTCGTCCCGAACCTGGCCACGGGCGCTTGTTTGGAAAATGTGAACAGATAGCTCCGTTTTCCGAGGAGGAGCACATCTGTTGAGCTTTTTCCCTGCTCAGGAGGCGGGGACGGGGGCAAGGTCAGCAGCGTGGAAGAGGCGCCGCTAAATCTGAAGGAAACTTGGTGCTTGGTCGCGCCTCCTTGCTCTAAGCACCGATGGAGGGACTTGCATTGCTCTCTGGTGCGCGGTCGCCGGGACAGCTTTCCAGGTTCTCAACTGTCCGGACAGCGGTGGCGGCTGGGTGGAGCGGGTGAGCCTGCGATCACCCTTCTTCGTGGGAGGGAACCCTTCCAGCGCTGTCATTGCGTGGGTCTTTGATCAAAGATAAGTGTTTAAAATTGAAGTACCAGCCCAGTATCCTGGAGTGTTTCACTTCTTTCACCTATTTTCCTAATCCAATAAACAGAACCTGGAGGTAGCTGGTCAAGGGGCAAGAAGCATTGCAGGGTGTGCACCAAGTGCCTTGTTTAGAAATTATTTGCTTGCGTTGTATTCATCTATCTTCTTAGCTTCCACTCCCTGCCTGGCATAGAGGAGGCACCTACATAAAAGCTTCCCAACTGAATTGCTGTGTTCATGAAATTTACCACCTTGGAAGTGATGATAGACTGCCATGGCATATGGCCATGCCCATTGACACATCCAGTCTGTTACCAAGGGAAGGCTGTAAGAGCTCCATATGTTAACGGGGCTTTCCTGCATTTATAGGGGCTCCCGTAGCATATTTCAGTCTCTGTTCAGTGATTACTTCCCAGTGTGTTAGTTACCCTGCAGTCATTCCAAATTACCACAAAATTTTTTCCTGTTCTTCAGCAAGTTAATTCTGCGCCAAAGGAATATTTCTTTTAATCTATGGCTCCTATAAATTTTAGTTGCTATGATGGCATAAGTGGAGAAGAGTTTTGCTTAATTGCTCAGTCACTTGGTATAAAAAAATTGTCCTCCCCTGAAATTAGGACAATTTTTTATGCAAGTGAAATAGAAGCATTTAACTTTATTAATCTGAGGCATAAATAAAATGTTCTTATTGGTAAAATGGCTTGAGTCTAATTGTGACTTATTGGCCAACCTATCATAAAAATCCTAGGAGAGACCACCTTCCCTTTGACAGCTGTATTTGAGAGCTTGGAGGTGCAAGGCGCTGCCCATCAGCGGAGTGAGGAAGGACAAAGCTGGGAGCCATGGTGTTTGTCCTCCACAACGTAGGAGTGAATGTGAGAAATACAAAACGTAAAGAATAGAATTCCCATAGAATGTTTTGAACAAGCTATGTGTAGTGTGTGTGTGTGTGTGTGTGTGTTTAAGTATATTTGTATTGATTTCAGAGAGGAGGGGAGAGAGAGGTAGAGGTAGAAACATCAATGATGAGAATCATTGATTGGCTGCCTCCAGCACGCCCCACACTGGGGATCGAGCCCACAACCCGGGCATGTGCCCTTAACAGGAATCGAACCTGGGACTCTTCAGTCTGCATCCGATGCTCTATCCACTGAGCCAAACCAGCGAGGGCTAGGTGTAGTTTTAAGGAAACAGAACCCTCAGGAAAGGCTTCCTAGAGCGTGGTTTTGGGAGTGGAGTTGAGGGAGGAGGATAGAGGGGAGGGGAGGGGAGGGGTCACTATTCCAGGCAGAAGGAATGTACAGGACAGGCCTGACTCCGGGGCGAAGGTGCAGTGGGACGGAGCGGAGCATGTATAGAGCCGCTGCAGGAGAAAAGCCTGGAGAAGGGAAGGTAAGAGCCAGGTGAGGATGGTCGCCAGGGGTTTCCTCACTTGGCTCAGTGGGGAGACACTGGAGATTTTTTAACGATTTTTGAGTGGCATCGGTTGGCAACATCTAGAGCTCGTGGTAACGAGTTTGTCAAAATAGAGGAAAGGCGTGAAACCTGACGTTCCTGAACATGGTGCTGAGTGAGGTTTTCTTTTTTCCTTTGGTGACAGGAAGGAGAATAGGGTGGAGGAAGGAGGTGAAGCTCGCTATAGAGACTAGTAATAGTGACAGAGAGGCAGAGTGTTGGTCCTAGATAACAGATCCTCAGCCCGCTCTTTCTCTTCATAAAGTAGGTTGGGGGTGGGATTATTTGAACTATTTACTCAAAATGAACATGGTAGCCAACTCTCAGCCCTTTAGATAGCACTATTGAGAGGCTGCTGAACTGTGAGGGCAGAAAAGAATTACAGATCCAAATGAGTCAAGGCAAAGGCTATTGAGCACTTCATGTCCTGACTGTCCCCATAGTTAGGTTTGGTAGTGTTGTTTCTGGGTTCATGTTACGAGGACGAGGGCAGAGGAAGTTAGGTGACTTGGTCAACACCCCAAAGCCAGTGAGAGGCAGGGCAGCTGCTGTGCCTCCACGTGAAGAGAAACACATTGTCCCTCAATACGTGGAAGCTGACTGAGCGCACCGTGTGAGCCTTGAACCTGTTTTGAGGATCTGTATAGTTCAAGATAGATAAGACCTGATGTTTGTAAGTTAAGGGAGAGGGAAGGTAGCTCTGGTGGGAAAAAACTGCCAGACTCTGTAGTTTTGAAGCCCTACTTATTTACAGAATATTGCAATAAAATACTCCTTGGCTTGTGGACTTTTTGGCTTTTAGATTATAAGCTCCTTAAAGCCGAGAGTTGTGTATTGGGGGGATGAAATGGAGTGGAATATTGCATATATAGGCATATAAATGTAAGGCTAGAGCCGTGCTTCTCGACCAGGGTAAATTTACCCCCAGGAGACACGGGGCCAGTTCTGGAGACAGTTTTTGGTGGGGTGGGGGCTACTAACAGGACGAGTAGAGGCCCGAACGCTCCTAAACACCATATGCATAGGGACATCCCCCACAACGGGACTTACCCAGCCCAGGAGTCCGTGATGCCGAGGTTGAGAAACTTGGACTAGCAAGCCAGGCTGGCTGTTAACCAGCGTTGGTTGAACCACTCCAGTGGACGGGTCTTTCCCACAGATCTTAGCTCTCCAGTCACGTTTTCTCTCCAGACGAGCAGTATTCCATGATGTCTGTCACCCGGGCCTTTTGCTCAGTTGAAGTTGGCCGTGTGTTGCTATGTATGTGTTGCATACTCTCTAGGTGACTGACTCACTATGCGCCTGCCTCCTGGATGTTTGCTGCAGGCTTTACTTAGAGAAATGGAGACACTTCGCGATGGCACCGGTGGCGGGGCCATGACTATAAGGACCTCTGTATAAATGTAATGTAAATGCTTTCTTGGGACAGTCTTAGATTGCTGTCTGTAAATGTCGGGGGTGATTCTGGGAAATAGGTGAGAAGGTATGTGGCATAATAAGGATACTGATTTTCAGGTCAAACTTTTTTTTAATATATATATTTTTATTTCAGAGAGAGGAAAGGAGAGCAAAAGAGAAATAGAAACATCAATGATGAAAACGAACCATTGATTGGCTGCCTCCTGTATGCCCTCCACTGGGCATATGCCCTGACCGGGAATTGAACCATGACCTCCTGGTTCATGGGTCGTTGCTCAACCACGGAGCCACACTGGCTGGGCATCAGGTCAGACTTTTTAAGCCCAAGTAACTTCCATTGATACTATTCACCTAGAATTAGTACTTTCATTTTCCCTCTTGTTTTGCTCCTTCCACCAAGCAAACGCTGCTTGAACACAGCTCAGAAAAGTTTTGTTCTTTTAAAAAAACTGGAGAATTAGACATCTGCAGTGAAACATATGTTAAGTGTTCTGACCTTTCTGCCTGGTACTGTTTTGCCAAGTATTTGGCAATATGTCTACTTTTCATTGCTGGTGTTGCCCTCGGGATTCTGGTGGACCAGGGAGGAGGTGAGAGAGGTCACGGGAAAGGTTCACGCGTCCTTAGTCAGAAAATGCTCGGGGTGATTTGGGGGCTGAGTGCAGAGAGAGGTAGTTGGTTCTTGGTGGAGTCAAAACTTCGATTTGGGAAGGACTAAGTATTCCATTAACACACTTTTGCTATATGAAAGTTGATTTTTATGAAATTGAGCTTTTACTATATCATAAAAATTGTATATATAATATTTAAACATCTAAGGACTGACATTTGCCATAGGAAGTGGTCTATATATATTTTTTTTAATAATTTTTATTGATTTCAGAGAGGAAGGAAGAGGGAGAGAGAGATAGAAACATCCATGATGAGAGAGAATCATGGATCGGCTGCCTCCTGCAAGTCCCCCACTGGGGATCGAGCCCACAACCCGGGCATGTGCCCTTGACTGGAATCGAACCTGGGAACCTTCAGTTCCCAGGCTGAAGCTCTATCCACTGAGCCAAAGCGGCCAGGGCGGAAGTGGTATATATTGAAGTGACTTTATCAAACTACACTAGTCCCCCTAGCCCCCTTAGCCACAGGGGACACATTCCAAGACCCCCCTCCCCCCCTGACTGCCTGAAACGGTGGATGGTACCCAAC